TTTAAATCCCTTCTCTGGATGGCCACCTGGATATGATTATAAAGTCATGAAATTTATCATCACCTGTGGCTGTTTGAAGCAAATTGGTTAGTTTAATTAGACCTCGTGTTTCTTTACTGATGATTATTTGTTTATCAAACAGCACTGGGGGCTTTGTGCGTGCCTAACACAGTGCTAGGATCAAGGGTACAAAAGGATCAGGATGTCAGGAAAGAGAGACACACAGGAGGACACCTCTAAGGTGATGTGAGAGGGTACCCGGGGTACTGAAACCGGGAGGACGGAGTGACTCCTTCTTGCCAGAAGATACCGGGGAAGGATTCTTAGAGGACTGACATTTCGGTGACATGAGTCATGAAAGTTTGGTAAGAACTTGTAGGTGGAGAAGAGGCTGGGGAGGAAAGAAGAAACGAGGTGTGTCAAGACAAAGATACACTGATAGAGAAGGGAATGAACACTTGTGAAGCGCCTACTGTGTGCCAGACACTGCGCATCAGCTAATTTGATCCTGTCAGGTCTATGCCATTGTCTGCCGAGGAAACTCAGGCTCAGGAGAGTTATGTGACTTGCCCAAGTTCTTGAATTACCACTTGGGGAGTCAGGATTCACACCCGTAATTCTGTCAGTAAGGTGAGGCTGAGGAAAGAGCTTGTCTTCTGGTGGGAGTGATCCCTTGGTGTGGCCGGGGTATGGCATGCCGTGAAGGAAACAGACAGAAACAGGGTGGAAGATGGAGAATGGAACTGATTAGTGAAGGGTATGTTCAGCCTGCATAAGATTGGCTCTCAGTGTTTGAGAACACCAGTAAGGGTTTGTAAGCAGACACAGGAAGCTTGATTTATCTTTTAGAAAGACTCTGGCCACCATGTTTTGGGTGGAGGGAGTTGGATAAGACTGGAATTGGGGTCACAGATTTATCTTCACTACACTTAGATGTGCAAAGAAAATATTTTTTTAAATTTGACCCTACCTTCTCCTTCAGACCGCCTCTCCACTTAATAAGTGGAGAAAAAAGAAGCTACATTTCATTGAGAGTAGGAAACTCAGGCTGCTCCAGTAATGTGGAAAGTCTCTTTTGGTAATTCATTTTTCTCTCTGCACCCCACTGAGACGGCGTCTCAGTAAATAGGAGTCTCACATGGCCTTGAGGGTGTGTGTGTGTGTGTGTGTGTGTGTGTGTGTGTGTGTGTGTCAGTCAAAGGTTGGGGCAGCCCTTGCTGATGCCGATTGTGGTCTGGCGGTGTTCCCGCTCTGCCTGGGCCATCTGTTGGCAGCCGTTGCTGAAGTATGTGGCTGCTCTAACTTGCAGTCTGTTTTCTCCCAGATCAGTCAGGGCCTGGTTGTCCGTATTGCCTACGTGGTCCCACCGTGGCTCTTGCTCGGCCTTTATACCCCTTACCTTATCCCACAGGAAGTTTTGATAATGCCCTTCCCTCTGTGGTCCTCCACAGTGTCCTTGGGGGGAATGTCCACACTGCTTAGAAGCTAGTCAGGCTTTGGATAGCAAACCTCAAAACTTGGGCCTTTTTTTTTTTTTTTAACATGCAACTGCTGTGACACCAGTTTTGCTGATTTATGTGATATGGTCACCACCTATACAGTCACCACCCCATTTTGTCTTGAGAGTGGGGGGCGGGGCATGAAGATGTTCTGTGAGGTCGCGTCCTCTAGATCCCTGAAGGGAAAGTGATACAGAAACTCCGTGGCCTTTGGTTTTTGTTATCAACTCTTTTAACTCCTCCCCCTCTTCTGGGATTTTAGCCCCGAGTGGGGAGAAGCTGTACCATATGTGTCTCCATCTCCTGATTTCTCTGTCTACCTTGACCACTTCTTCTCTCCACACTTGTCCTTGTGTTCCCAACTCATCGGGACTTCTGTAGGTCATTCTGTCTTCCTTCGGGAAGCGCCTTTAACCCTCCACTTGGGGCTGTCATATGGCCAGGATACAAGGAAGGAGGGAGGTCAGCTTTAGATAAAGGAATTTCAAATGAATTTCAAAGCTGTCGTATTTGTCACCTGATGGTAGAGCTGCTACAGTAGTCTCGGTGAGGGATAAAAGAAGCTGGAAGAGAGTCCTACGAGCGAGCCTTAGTGAAACCAGATGTGGGGGTGATGAGACGGAGAAGTTGAAGATGACTTTGTGGTTCCTAGTTGGGGCAACCATTGAATAAAGATTCACTTGACAGAGAAAACACCAGAGGAGAAGGAAGAGTTGTGAGGGCAGAGGGGAGGAGGAGGAGGTTTGGGGGCTAGGAAGAAGAGAGGGAGGGCAGTGAATTCAGTCTTGGATCTCACTGAAATGCTGTCTAATAGGAGAGAGATGGGGCTGGCACCTGGGAGAGAATCTGCCTGGAGAAGTGGGTTTGGGAAACAGGTGAGAATATCTAAGAAGAAAAGGAAGAGAAACTCACTGTCATTGTAGATGCTAAATTTAAAAACATAAACAAGGTCATCACTGTTTTAATTCTTCCTCGCATTTCACAGTGACCCAGTACTTTGGAACCTCTCCTCCAGGTTCCTGCAGCAGGATAGCTCTAAGGTCACAGGGTACTGTCAGGGGTATCTGCTGCTACTTCTGATCCCCAAGGGGACCTTTAAAGCGCCAGGCCTGACACATAGATCCATGGTATACTAAGTTCATATCAGAATGAGGCCAGAATGTTCTACACAAAGAAAACTTTGATGAGTGGTTAAAACTAAATAATTTGCAGGTACACGCAGAGGCACTGTTTAATTTTTTGTAGTTGAACTGAATTTGTTAAGTGAACTCCTAGAAATGTAACATGTACTTCTCAAAACCATCATCATTATGCCTGAGACATGGTCTAACCTTTGGATGTCCTCTGCTAATATAATTGCCTTGCTGTCTTTGAAAGGTGGCTTTTAATTGGGTTTCAGAGTAGCAGTTGCTGTCGAGATGCTGGTTGCAGCCTTTCAATAGATTGGGCCAGTTCGTTAAGCGTTTCCTCTCCCTGGTCTGGACAGCTGAGCTTGGACAGTAGCCAGCAGTTACTGAAATGCCATCACTTATAGGATTGACCTTTAAGACACTGATTTGTTATATTATTGAGTTTTGATTTTTTCCTCTCAAATTTAAATGGAGCTTTATTGAATACAGTGCTAAACTCAATTCTTCTCACTCTCCGTGGCCTTTTCATCAGGTTATTTCCCCCTGGCTCCTAGCATTTAGTCCTCTGGCTGGACAAGAGGTTTAAGAACTAAAGACAGCTTGCCATTTACAGGGCTTAGGATGGTCCGTGGGAAGTGTGGTGGATTACCGTGCAGGCATGACTCAGAGTCCTCACTGGACTGGTCATTTATGTACAGGTAACCTGAGAAGTCTCTTAGCCAGTTTTCTTCTTTTTGGTAAAATTGTGCTGAAAATTCTTTTTTATCTTAAGTTTTTATTTTAATTCCAGTTAGTTAACATACAGTGTTATATTAGTTTCAGGTGTACAATAGAGTGATTCAACACTTCCATACGTCACCCTGTGCTTATCATGACCTGTCCACTCCTTAATCCCTGTCAACCTATTTAACCCATCCTCCCACCCACCTCCCCCTGGTCACCATCATTGTAATTAAGAGACTGTTTCTTGCTTTGTCTCGCTCTCTCTCTCTTTTCCCTTATGCTGGAAATTCTTATCTCGAGGATTATTGTCCTGAAGGTTTTTAATTCGTTTGAAGAAGATGAGTACATAACTGTCACACTGAATAAACAAAAGCTTGGGGGTGGGGGTGGGTGGGAAGGTGGGATGACAGAAGGAGCTCTGTGTTTGGCTTTGGCTCTCCCTTAGAGCAGCTCTGTGGCCTGGTTCTTTTTATGCACCAGGAAGGCGTCCTGGGCAGGTCCGGTGTATTTTCTGATCATTTTCGTATAATAAAAAGCTCTCCAGTCACATTTCCTTTCCAGACAGTCTCAGTTTGGTAATTAATATGTCCGGCCTCAAACAGACTGCTTTAAAGTGAAAGCTTCTCCCCTGGCACAGATTTCAGATTCAATTTGTCTCATTCTACCAAAAATAAGAACTCCGATATTTTTATTGGAATACATTGAAATTATAGACTAATTTACTTCTTAGAGGTGATAAACACATTTTCTTAGACTCAGTCTTCAGTTACTTGTATTTGTTATTGCAAACGCTGTGTTTTCAAAATTAAGCTTTGTGTTTGTCGATATTATACCAAAGGGCAATAAATTTTTGTGTATTGATTTTGTACTTAACTATTTTGTTCAGTGTTCTTATTCTAATAGTTTTTCAATGAGCTTTTAATATAGACAATTATATCAGCTGTGAAAATGATTTTTTCCCCTTGCTTTCCATTTCTTGTGCCTTTTTTCCTTTATTTTTCTATATTGCCCTCCAGGCAGAATTAGTAAATAGAAGTGTCAATAACTACCATCTTTTTCTTATTTTTGATTTTAGAAGGGTTGCTTGTTTTTTTTTAATAAAATTATTTATTTATTTATTTGAGAGAGAGGGCACACACACACAAGCAGGGGGGAGGGGCAGAGGAAGAAGCGGACTTTGAGCAGGGAGCCCGATGTGGGACTTGATCTCAGGACCCTGGGATCATGACCTGAGCCAAAGGCAGACACCTAACAACTGAGCCACCCAGGAGCCCCAGAAGGGTTGCTTGTAATAGTACACCAATAGGTAAAACATAGTAAATTTTTTTAGATATCCTTTATTAGGTTTAGAAATTTCAGTGAGGAATTTTAATCATGTGTCTGTGTAGAGTCTTAATCAAATATCTTTTCTGTATCTAGTGAGGTATTGTGGGCGGACTCTTACAGAAGGGTGTTAAGATGAAACCTGTTGTATCTTCTAGGTGCAAAGTCATTGCCAAGTGGAATGGGAGTGATACTACATTTTGAAATATGATTTATATACTGCTGATTCATTTTTTAAACATATACCCTTTGTAGGGAAGTATTATATTATGCAGTCATGGTTGAAAAATAAAACTAAACTTTGTTTGTTTGTTTTTCTCTCTAGTATTACTTTACTGTTCTCTTTGGCCATGAAGGTCAGAAAGCTCTGGAGCTGCGCTGTGAGGAGGAACAGGATGGTAGAGAGTGGATGGAGGCCATTCACCAAGCCAGGTATGGGCTCAAACCCTCTGTGTGACACTGGATTGGCTGGGCCTCTCACACTGGGATTTTCACTGTTGGCTGTAGTTTTGGGAGAACTTGCGATTCCAAGATGGGTTTCCCCTTGGTACCCCCTCTTTAGTGATGTGTGAGATGATTCTTTGAGCGTTCTATGGCTATATTCTAGCTAAAGATGAAAAATAATGTCTATAACAACAACAACAATACTAATAGGTCACTTTTGTCAATTGTTCCTATGTGCCAGGTACTTTTCTAAGCGCTTCTCAATTAAGGCATTTATTAAATGTATTGATTTGCTGATCCTCTCGACAGTCTGAGAGTGGGTATTATAATTGCCCCCTTTTACAGAGAAGGAAAATGAAGCCGGGAAGGTTGGTTTGCTTGTCTGAGGTCTCACAGCTGGTGAGTGGCAGAGCTGGCTTACGGACCCAGCCGAGCCCACATTTGTAAACCCTGCCCTGGGCAGCCTGGTTATCAAGAAGGGTGATGCTGACTCTATCTAGGGAGATAAAAGAGTATGATTTTATTTCCTCCTAAGAAATACCAGGAAGGTAGAAAGAACGCACTTGGCCTCAAACATAAACAAGAAATCTGAAAGAGAGTCAGGCAGATCCCTCTTTTTTATTTTTCATATTCATTTCTGAAGTCCAGCCCATTTTTGCTTCAAATAGCTCCCATCCTCGCTGCTTTCCTGGCTGTCCCCTCCCTCGTCCAGTCTCTGGTCACTCTGTAAGTCCCTGCTCATCTCCCCGCTGCTTCTGTGGCAAAACTCCAGCCGGGGCACATCTTTTTCTTCATCTGACACGCCCCCTGCTTCTCCTAAGTGCCCGTTCACACCTGTACCGCCCCTGTCCCTGAAACCGTCCCCCACAAGTAGCCCTCACAGGCCCCTTCTCCAGATCGCCGAAGCACTTGCATTACTACATGTAGAATATTTAACAGTTTAGGACAACTTAGGGGTTTGTTTTTGTTTTTTTATCTTTTTTTTTTTTTTTTACATATTTCGCATGTGTGATTTCTGTTTCTTGAGCTGGATTGCATGCACCTCAAGAGTGAGGAGGAGGAGATTTCATTTCTGAACAAAGCACAGTGCTAATTATGTAGTAGGTGACCAAGAAATATTTTCAGATTGACTGTAAAGTGGATGGGACATTTGTTCTGAGTTGAGACTCTTCTTGAACCCTTGAGACCTTTTTCTCTGAAAGTCTCCCCTCCCCGCCCCTCTTTTTTTCTTCAACTATTTTATATTGACCACCTACCTCCTCTGTGTCAGGCACCATGCTAAGTGCTTTACATGCTTTGTTTATTCCTCACAACTACCCACTTTACAGATGAGAAAACAAAGGCTCATGATTATTAAGCAGATTGGCCAACATCTAACATGAAGTTGTTAAGCTGCAGAGCTGGGCTTCAAACCCAGATCAGTCTGACTCCAGAGCCTTTAACCAGTGTTTTGGGTTGTACCTGTCTTCATTCTTGTCTTTTTCTCTTCTTTCCCCCCCTTTTCTATTTCTTTTCTTTTCCTCTATTCAAAGATGCGAATAGATTAATGTAAGGTCAGGGTTGAGAGTAGAAGATGTTATTTGCAAAATATTTCAGTTCCTTTTCTTTCCTCCTCTTCAGAATATTTCTTTGAGATGCACAGGGTTGGCAACCAAATGCTGCTCTCTGAGTGGGCCCTGGGGGCAGCTTGTCCACACCATGACCCTGGCACACCATTGAGCTGTCTTTTCTCTCATTGTTTCTGTCGGAGGGTTTTGCTCCAGACTTTACTGTAATGTACAATGACTTGTTATAGAAAGAAGGTCAGGTCTTGAGAGGTGAAAGAAGTTATCAAGTTGGCAAGGTAGAACTCTTGGGTTCTTGGGCGCCTGGGTGGCTCAGTTGGTTAAGCAACTGCCTTCGGCTCAGGTCATGATCCTGGAGTCCCGGGATCGAGTCCCACATCGGGCTCCCTGCTCGGCAAGGAGCCTGCTTCTCCCTCCAACCCTCCCCCTTCTCATGTACTCTCTCTCTCTCTCTCTCTCATTCTCACTCTCTCAAAATAAATAAATAAATTAAAAAAAAAAAAAGAACTCTTGGGTTCTTTCTAGACAATCTCTGTGTAATTCCTTCCTACCTGGGAATTAAAATGAAGTAAATAACCTAAAACATGGGCATTCCTCCCCTCCCCCCCACCTTGTTTCATTCCAGAAAAGTGAGATACTATTAGTAACCTAAATACCTTACCTTTGTAGTTGCCAAGCAAATACTGAGGTGGACCAAACACGAGTATGAATTACTTCAAAAAATGGTTAGATTTTAAGTAAGGTTTTTTTTTTTTCCCTTTCTGTATCATGAGAACTTTGTCATATATGTGGGCGTGGGTCAGTAATTGGTGTTGACTGACATATGATCAATTAGGGCACTTGTGGTCTTGTCAGGAGACAGACTTTAGAAACCACTTTAGTGGTTTAGGTGAACAGATGATAAAATTCTCTTGTGGATTTGAAGATTTAGCTAATAATTGATTTTTTTTTTTAATGTCCTGACTTTTTGGTCCATTAGATTTGCTTTTCCTTTGATTTAAGGCCCGGGACTGGGTTCTTTGATGAGTTCTTTTTAATCAGACTGCTTTATACTTGAGTTCTTGTATTTGACTTTTTGCATTGAGATGCTTCTTAAATCTTTTTGTTTTATAAATCAGGGAAGATAACAGCTTTTTCATTTAAGTTGAGTGTTTGGTGTAAACTTGGATCTGTGAAATTCATTCTGACTGTTCATAGATGTGCAGAGCCAGAAAGTTAATGAAGCTGATTCAGAGAAAGCGTTTGTCAGCCAGTTTTGCTTGGCATTTGGCTAATTACACAACTGATTGGTTGACTATTTCACCTTTAGAGGATAGTTGGTGGTGGTAATCTGGTGCCACTGCTTTTTTAATAGAAAATGCTCAATAATTATAGTTTTATTAATCCCTCTTTTTTAAAAGTCTGAGCTATTGGTTAACTGATGACTATTTTAGCCCGAGACCAGTTCTTTCCTGAGTGTCCTGCCGACGCTGCCTAGAAACAGGGACTGCTCAGAACCCTTCTCCCGGTCTCTGCTCTTTTCCTGGGTTGTCTTCTCAGTACTGGCTTGGGCATGCTGTCCTTGTGTGCCATGAAAATCCCATTCTTGCTGCTGGCCTTTGTACCTCCGAGCTGAATCTACTTGCTCCAATTTGCTGTTAGAGGATCTCTCAGTCATTTTCCGGGATGTTGAGTTGCATGTTTTCTTCCTTAGATGGGGCCCGAGGAAAAATCTTTTTGGAAATTATATTCTCATTTCGAAGCCCTGACGGGGTCCAGAAAGCTTGTTTTACAGTTTTTTTTTTTTTTTTGAAGTTGGCCAATATTACATTTCTAGAACACTGGCACATTCATAATATCATTCCATCACTTATTATTGGCACCAGCTCATGGGAAGCTGCTAGCCAGACTTAGTCTTATTTGTGTCTGGGTAAGGAGAGGCCAGAGCATTTTAACGGCACTGAAGTTCTAGGCTTATTCCATAGTGGTTTGGTAGTTGAGTATGGAACTCTGGGTATTCCTGATAACCTGATTTTTCTTGTTGTCCTCTTTGTCTATCTGCCTGCTGTGGTTGACTTAGTCATTGACATTAGGACAGTCAAAAACACTGACTCAGTTAATTGTGGGTCCTCAGGGCTCACTGGCTGAAAAGACAACTTCCACAGCACTTTTTCTCCACTTTTCATTTGGTGGAACACTGACCAAGCAAAGCCTCAGCATTTAGAAGGTGGTTATGGCCTGGAAGAGGGTCTAGGTCTGTGGAGGTACTGAAGCTCTTCCCGGTCTGGTCTAAGTGTAAGACCCGAAGGACCTGGTCTCTGACAGTTAATAAAAGAGAAGTGGAAAGTAGTCCAGAGATGGGGTGGAGGGTAGACTTCCTCTAGGACTTTGTGACCACCTGGATGCAGGTGCTATTAGATCAGGTGGGTATCTAACACATCTCTCAGAGTGTCACTTCCTGGGAGAAGAAATGATGGATGAAAGGCGGGATTGTGGGGCAGAGATGATGAACGCTGGTCAGGAAGGGCCTCTGTGGGGAACTGGAGGGTTTGCTTGCCTGGAAGGGGCCGTGAGGAGCCCACTCTAAGGGCTCTCGTGGCCCTTGCTGTGTAAGATATGAGAAAATGAGTATCAGAAGCTACTAGAGAAGTAAGGTGTGTCCTGAGGGAAAGCTGGCTTTGGGTTTCTACCAAAGTGGAGGTTAGGGGAGGACTTGTGAAAAGTTGGAGACGTAGAGAATATTGTACCTGGCACGGCGCACCATGGAACGTACACAGCTTTTTCTTTTTTTCTCCCTGCAAAGGTATGGCTTATGCTTTCGGTGTTTGAGACTGTCCTACTGTGTCTTTTGCCTGCTTTCTAATCTTTCCATCTGTAACTCTGCTCAGACCCCCACCTTGACTGTCCTCCCTCCTCTTGGTGTGCGCCTGTGGCAGGTGGATCTTAGGCTTTTCTCGGTGGAGAGGGCATTTGCAAGCGAAAAGGAACTGGGTGTATGCTTCCATTCCATAAAGCTTCTGTCAGATTTAGTTTGGCAAGGGCCTGACAAAACCCGTTCACTCACCCTATCAGTCCTAAGTTTGACCCTCAGAGGGTCAAATCTTCCAGTTAACTCTTTCAGTGAAGTCTTGTCCTCTTATCCACTAAAGAAAGCCCTAAAAGCCAGCCTCTTGGGTCTGTTTTTATCTGTAGTCCTTTTGATTACATGTGCCTGAGGCAAACTGTAGTTCATTCTCTCCACCTGCCCTCCTCAGTCTGTTGTTCTCCCCTTCCCCACAACGTACACAACCACACATGCGCGCGCACACACACACACACACACACACACCCGCCCCAACATAGTAGCTGCACCAAACATCTAGTGTCTGTAACCTCATCCTTTTTACTTGGATAGAGGCTTAATTTAGAGTGAAGTGTATAGTATACAATCTGTCCAGCCATAAA